TTAAGTGAACACTTACAATGTGCAAAGTGCTGCTGGTGATGCATTTAGTGCCATAGACCGTGTCACAAGGGCTCAGGAAAGCTTTCCCCGGGCAAGAGATGATTAAGCTGAGACATGAACCAGAATGATGGAGGCAGAATGAGGGAGGAGAGAGTGTTCTAGGAGAGAAGACAGTGTATGCAAAGTTTTGGAGGGAGGACAGAGGAGGACTGGAAAAGTGTGGATGGGTAAGGCCCGGAGGCAGTGGGTATAGCCACCAGGATGGACTGGACAAGAAAGAAGAATCCAGATCATTACAGTGCCTTTTAAGCCTCATGAAGTCTTTGGGGCTTACTCTGTGAGCAACAATTGTATTGCAAGTTTGAAGCAAGAAACTGACATAGTTCAACTTTATGTGTGCTATATATTTGTGTGTAGCAAAAAGGGAAGATACAATTTACATAAAATAAAATTCAGAGATCTTAAGTGAGGATACATGCTGGCGTAACCAACCCTCAAAACAAGATGCAGGACGTTATGATCACTTTAGCAAGTTCCCTCTTGCCAACGTCCATCCCATAATCAGACTTGTTTTGTATGTTTATTTACTCTGGCAATAGTGTAGAGAATGGGTGATGGGGGTGGGGGCAAAAACTGATGAGGGATATACTTGGGTAGTAGCAATGGGGATTGAAGTGAAGGAGCTCAATAAATAGAAGAAAATGTTAGTAGAGCTTGGAATGTCTGGGAAGGAACAGGGGAGGGGCAGTCAGGAATGACCCACAAGTTGCTGGCTGGAGTAGTTGGAGGGACGCCTGACCACCCTGGGGAAGAAGGATCTGGAAGACTTTCCAGAAGAGCTAATGTGCAGGCTGAGTTTTGCAAAATCAATGAGAGTTAGCTAAGTGAGGGGAGTGAAAAGTGCATTTTAAGAAGGGGGTGGCAAAGGACAATCTCAGGGAAGATCCTGGGAACAAATACAGATGAGAGCACCTGGATCTAGCCTCACCTTAAATATACCCTAAGACATTTTACTTCTATGCAACAATAAAATCTCACTTGGTCTAAGCTAGTTTGAGCTTCTGATGTAACAGAGAGTTGTGGTTGTGAGGAGAAAATTGAGAGGTATGGAAAAGGAGGTGAGAGCAGCCTCTGGGTCCAGGGTGTTGAGCCCCAGATCAATGCCACTTAGGAGAGAAGTCAAGAAAGAACACCTGAGTTTCCAGGCACAGTGACTGACCTGTAGGACCTACCCCAGGACTGTGGGCAAGGACAGCTCCCACCCAGTGGGTCTAGACTCAGAGACTCACCCCCTCAAACCACTGTGTCAGGATCCACTCCCCCTGGCAAAACACCCCATGAAAATCCTGAGCCCCCAAGGACCCCAAAAACCTAGCAAAGCTCCCCAGTCATCCATTCTATGGGAGAAGACTGAGCACTTTAACACTCCCCAGGCTGGGGGTAGAGGTGAGAGGACACATCCATTGCATAAATTTGGAAGTCATTTGCAATGGATGGACATTGAAGTCATGTGGCTAGAAAAAAAAATCCCTCAAGAATATGTGACCTGTGACCTTTGAGGACATTATGCTGAGTGAAAGAAACCAATCACAAAAGGGCAAATACCGTATGATTCTGCTTATATGAGATGTCTAATGTATTCACCCTCATAGAGCCAGCATGTAGAACAGTAATTGCCAGTGACTGGAAGAAAAGGAACACGGAGAGGTGCTCATCAATGGGCATAATGTTTCAGTTACATGGGATGGATAGGTTCTAGAGACGTGCTGGATGATGGATTGCCTGTAGTTAAGAAGACTGTGCTGTGCACCTAAAAATGTATTGAAGATAGATCTCATGTTAAATGTTACCATAATAGAGCTTTTTTTTTTTTTAATTTTTTTTCCAACGTTTATTTATTTTTGGGACAGAGAGAGACAGAGCATGAACGGGGGAGGGGCAGAGAGAGAGGGAGACACAGAATCGGAAACAGGCTCCAGGCTCTGAGCCATCAGCCCAGAGCCCGACGCGGGGCTCGAACTCACGGACCGCGAAATCGTGACCTGGCTGAAGTCGGACGCTTAACCGACTGCGCCACCCAGGCGCCCCCATAATAGAGCTTTTAAAAAGAACATGTAGTTTAAGAAAAGAAGAGGGTAAGGATCGAACAATGGATGACACCAACATGTCAGGGACAAATAGAGGAAGAGAAGTCTTCACAGAAGGCAGAGAGTGAATGCATGGAGAGAGGTCATTCAGGAGAAAGCAGCTTATGAGAAACCAAGAAACATCAGCCAAGGATGACAAGGATGGAAAGGGATCCATGATGCAGCAACCACATGTTGCAAAATGACACCCTCTGTGAGATTAACAAGAGTGTGAAGGTTGCCAGAAAGAGAATGGGTAAGTTGGAATGAGGAGCCCGAAGCCCTCGTGGGAAGGAAGGGCACCCCCTCCCCATTCCTTTAACCCTAGTAATTTGCAGGAGTGGAACAAAGTGCCCTAACCAAGTTTTTCCTCATGGCGGGAAAGACAGCAAGGGGCCCTGAAGTAATATGACCATGAGGGTAACGAAAGTGGTACAGAACAGAACTAGCTTGATGGGGTCACTGGGCTGATGGTAATAATACTTTGAGTAGTTGAAGTGGTAGATGCTAGACGCTTGGGCTTACTTCTTCCCTGACTCCGGGAAAAGCTATAACCTGGGAGCTGTCACTCCGGGCCAGGAACTCCCTTGGTAGGCCCTAACGCAAAGAGACAAGGAGACCTGGGAAGTTACCAATGGAGGCGGCTGCAGGATCAGACAGTTCAGCCACCAACCTAAGCCAGCATCCAAGGTTTTCTTCATGGAGGCTCCTGGGCAAGGAGTCATGGCTTACAGTCAAGGAGGCAGGGAAAGCAGGATTCACCTTTGTCAGTGGGCACCAGGGCTTCCAGGACACAGAGGGCAAAGCTAGCCAGGAGAAGACTCGATCCCTACTAATCTCGGCATGTGGATGCTTGGGCACCGTGCTAGGGGACACCCCCACAGAGCTGTTTCCTGTACCCCAAAGCAAAGTCAGGATACAGGGAACAGGAAGTCACAGATGTTACAGGCCAGTGAAGAAGTGGGATGAAACTAGACCTTGGTGGGAATAAAGTCCGAAAGCACATGAAGACAGTAAATGGAGGTCCGTCTTTTCATGGAGATAAATCCTTGACCTTGAAAGGAAGGAGAGAAGTGGGGCTTGGGTTAGAAGGATATGTAAGATGGGGGCATTCGTGAGTGTTTATAGGAAAGCCTGAGAAAGCTCACCTCTGTGAAGGAGAGGCGGGACAAAGGAAAGGGACCAAGGCCCCTGAAGCAGGTGTTGGGGGATGAGACCCAGAACCCAGCTGGAGAGGAGGGGCCAGGAGAAAAGAAACCTGGAAGAAACCACCTCAAAGCAGACCCTATGACCTCACAAAGCTGGCACACTCATCCCCAGGGTTCCAGAAAATCTGAGTCAGTACTGGCTAAGTCTCCTAGCAACTGGATGCAGGGGGCATGGCACTCTTAACACCCCAGGGAGTAAAAAAAGTCTTCCAATTTCAGGTGAAGAGAAAACCCAACTTTTAAAAAGGAGTTTGCTCGGTGATGTAAGAGTGAGGTGTGCGTGTAAAGTGGCCCCTCAACAGTGCTTCTTCAGATAGACACCTTGGACATGACTCCTTGCCCAGGAGGCCCACAATGGGGGGCAGGGGGGTGCCAGCTGGAATGCCAGGCCAAAGGCTTACCAGCCCTTGGAGCTTGGAGGCTGTTTTCCCAACCTATAGGGACAGAGCCTGCCTGATGGGAAGGAGGATATGGCCATAAAAGCACTGTGCCTGCCTCCACTCTGAGGAGGGCCAGGAAGGCCCCAGGGGCTGATCACCATGGGATGCTACCTCTTATCAGTCAGCCTCAAGGCCCTGTGAGCCCTTTGGGCTTATATGCCAATGTGTGTAGGGAATGTGTGTGGTTGTGGGGGTGGGGGAAGGGGGCTGTTGCTTAAGGCAGGGAGGGGGCAGATTTCATCAATTTCCTAGACCCAACTCTATGGTGACTGGTGTGAGTAAGGAGGGCCTGGGCCTTCCAGAATAGGGCTCCTTCCAGAATAGGGCTTTCCACAGAGGGGTGTCAGGGCACTGTTACAGAGTTCAGGCAAGAAGAGTCATGCAACTATGTGCACAAGTTAGCTTCTGACCTTCAGCCATGAGCTGATGGGCAGGCACCAGGCAAAACTTTCCTGGTGGGGAATCCCTCCCCGCTCTGGGACATGTGCTTTCACTGGCTGCTCTACATCTCCCAACCAGCTGACACCAACCTGGGGATCTGTGAGCACTGCAAGGAATGGCTGCCTGGGTCAGGTGGTGAGAGAGGAATCCCTGGGCTCTGGACCTTCCCCTGAGAACAGTTTCCCCACAAATGCCCACCCCCCCAGCCAGGAACCTCCCTCACCCCAAGGGAGCAACGTTCCCATGTTCAGTGGCTCTCCACTTCATGCCACACCTTTTCTTACTCCCTCCTTTAATGACACTTGCTTCTCCTACATCTGTTGATGACCTATAAGAATCTTTCTGGAAAGGCCAGACCAACTCTCAAGTGTGAAATGGGTTCTTTTGGCTAGTTCCCTGATCAGGTTTCCCTGCCTGACCTGCTAGAGTGCCCAAATTTTCACCAAGTAAGGTGTATTCTTTCTTTTAAAACATAGGCTCACCAAGCTTCTTTGTAGTCATTTACACTTTAGTATGAATTCCGTTATCAAATCAATACCTCTGGGGCAGTTAGTTGAGAGTGGACTCACAGGGAAGTCAACTTTTGTTTTAGAGAAGAGGAAGGAGGAACCATAATTCAGGACTTGAAGCCTGCTGAAGCTGCAATGACTAGCATGAGAACTCTGAGAGGAAGGAGCAGTGCTAGAAAGAACAGCGCATTCCCAGAAAGGGGAGGGAGAGCTGTCCAAAACTGAAAGCATGATTCTCCCCAGGCATACTCATATTTCTGGTCACTCTTCAGGACAATGCAGAGCCCTGTGAGGACCCCAGTGGTGATTTGCTCAGTGAGGATGGCATCTTGATTCCTCAGTCTCACTCTCCATCCCTCATATCATGCCCTGCAGAAACCAGAAGGTAGGGAGCACCTACGGAGACTGTTGAACTGGGAAGAGTTTGATGAAGTGAGAGACTCCCGCAGAAGCATTCTGCTGGATACCCTCTATGAAAGCATCATCTTTGCCGTGGGCAAAGGTTTCCCATGGGTGGAAGTGGCCAAGGTGGTCAAGTTCACGGAAGAGCTGCTCAAGGAAACCAAAGGTATGGGGCATCCAGAGCAGGGGTCAGCGAGGCTTGCAGGGGAATGCAGGGCACAGGACCCCTCTGCAGTCCACAGCCTCAGGAACCCTGTGAGGAGCTGGAAGTCCCTTTCTTTCTTTCTCTGACATTTAGCATCCTCCCATGCTCATAAACAAACTTCCTGTCTAGGCTTTCTGGAAATTGAAGCAAACTGAGTGTCCATGCTGCGTCTTTATTTTTATCTCCCTGGCTTAAAATTTCGCACAACTTCAAGCTGTTCACACAGCAGCCAGGATGTTTGTCTCTTGGTCAGTCAGTCATTTATGCTTAAATATGAATTTCCTTATCTGATCAGTACCTCTGAGGCAGCTAGCTGAGGGTAGGCTCCGAATGGAATCAGATTTTATTTTAGTGAAAAGAGGAGGGGCCAAGATTCATAATTTTTGTTTTGTTTTCACTTAACAGAAATCAAACGTGTCACTCTACTGGTTCACTGACACCCCCCCCCCCCCCACTGCATTCCTGAAAGACCACAATTGTTCCAAGTATCAGGTTTTGGTCTACTGAATGTCTTGGAGGAATCCTTTACAGGCAGCAGCTTGCTGGCAGGGATGAGGGAGAAAGCAGTAAAGTGAGTTTGTAGAGGGAGCATCTCTCCCACCTCTGCCCTGTGCTGGGCTTCATGAGAAGAGGAAGAATATCTCTCCCTGTGACTCCCTGGCACAAGGGAATGTGATCACACCCATCCTCATCTTGGGCTGTGAGATGCAGATTCATTCCTTAAGCAAATATTTGGAGCAGCCCCTCTTTGGCCAACATCATAGTAATAGACAGGAATAATCAATAAGTACCACAACCAGTAGGTAGATGCTTGATGGGAAATGGGACATTTACATACTCCTTCCCCACAACATTCTTACTGATCACAAAGGGGAAAAGACTACTTCTATGTGAGTGAGCCTGACAGACACCTCCTTCATGAAATGATCCAAGTAGACATCATCAGTAAAGGGACACACTAAGAATCACGTTCTACCTGGTAGAATGCAAAAGAAGAACCCAGCATCCTTCTGTGATGGTTCTAACAAAGACTCAGAACCTGATCTAATCACGAGAAAGCATTAAATTAGCGTCACTGAACAAAGTCCCTCTCCTGTGAGCTTCAAAAACATTAAGGTCCTGAGAGCCAAAGTAAGACAGAGGAGCTGGCTTAAACTGAAAGCCACCTAGGAGATGTGGCCACTAAACGTGACATGTGGCCTCAGTTTGGGTCCTTTTGCTATGAAGGGATATAAGGGACTACTGGAAAAACTTGGATGAGGTCTGGAGGTTAAACAGTAGTGGTGTGTCAAGGGAGATCTCCCGAACCATGGCTGTGGTTATGAATGCCCTATGTTAGGTAATTTACATGAAAACATTCTGAGATGATGGGGCATTTTGTGGGCCACTGATCGTTTAAGTACTTGGAAAAAATTTCTTTGTACTATTTTTTTCCAGTTTTACTGAGATACAATTGACATATAATATTGTATGAGTTTAAGGTGTATCGCATACTGATTTGATATACGTATATATTGCAAAGTGATTACCAAAGTAAGTTTAGTAAATATCCATCACCTCACATAGTTACAATTTTTTTGTGTGATGTAAATTTTTAAGATCCACTCTCTTACCAGCTTTTAAATATACAACATGATATCGTTAACTAATCACCATGCTGTGCATTAATTCCCTGGGACTTATTTCTCTTATGACCAGAAGTTTGTACTATTTGACCACCTTAATCCATTTTGCACCCCCCCCCCCACCTCTGGGAACCACCACCTGTCTGTCTCATTTCCATGAGTTTAGTTTTCTTTTTTTAATTCCACATGTGAGATCATATAGTGTCTGTCTTTATGCCTTTAAGGTTTATCCATGCTGTTGCAAAACGTAGGGTTTCCTTCGTTTTTATGGCCAAAAAATATCATATTTTCTTTATCCATTCATCTGTTGATGGACCATAGGTTGTGTACATGGCTTGACTTGGCTACTGTGAATAATGCTGGAGTGAACATGTAGGTACAGGTACCTCTTCAAGAGAGCAGTTTCATTTCCTTTGCATATATACCCAGAAGTGGAATTGCTGGATCGTATGTTGTAGTTCTATTTTTAATTTTTTGAATTTTTTTTCAACATTTATTTATTTTTGGGACAGGGAGAGACAGAGCATGAACGGGGGAGGGGCAGAGAGAGAGGGAGACACAGAATCGGAAACAGGCTCCAGGCTCTGAGCCATCAGCCCAGAGCCTGACGCGGGGCTCGAACTCACGGACCGCGAGATCGTGACCTGGCTGAAGTCGGACGCTTAACTGACTGCGCCACCCAGGCGCCCCTATTTTTAATTTTTTGAAGAATCTCCATACTATTTCCACAGTGGCTACACCAGTTTACATTCCCACTAAACAGTGCATGAGGGGTCCCTCTTCTCCACATTCTCTCCAACACTTATTTATTGTCTTTTTGATACTAGCTATTCTAACAGGTGTGAGGTGATATTTCATTGTGGTTTTGATTTTCATTTCCCTAATGATTAGTGATACTCAGCCTGTTTTCATGGATCTGTTGAGCATTTGAATATCTTCTCTGAGAAAATGTCTATTTAGATCCATTGCCCATTTTTATTAGATTATTGGAAGTCTTGCTATTGAATTGTTTGAGTTCCTTATATTAACACCTTATCAGAAATGTGCTTTGCAAATATGTTCTCATATTTCATAGTATTCCTTTTAATTTTCTACAAAATTTCTTTTTCTGGGCAGAAGCCTTTTACTTTGATGTAGCTCTACTTGTTTATTTTTGCTTTTGTTGCTTGTGCTTTAGGTATTATTCCAAAAAATCATGGTCAAGACCTATGTCAAGGAGGTTTCCCCCTGTTTTCTTGTAGGAGTTTTATGGTTTCAGTTGTGCTGTTTTTTAGTAGACTATTTCTTAGAGGAAAATGGAACAGAAGGTACAGAGATTTCCCACAGAAACCTTGTCTCCCCCACCCCCACCCACCCAACACACACAGCCTCCCTCACTATCAACATCCCTCCAAGAGTGGTACATTTGTTACAACTCATAAATCTACATTGGCACATCATTATCACCCAAAGTTCCTAGTTTACATTAGGATTCATTCTTGGTTTTGTGCATTCTATGGGTTTTTTTGTTAATTTTTTTAAATGTTTGTTTATTTTTGAGACAGAGAGAGACAGAGCATGAACGGGGGAGGGTCAGAGAGAGGGAGACACAGAATCTGAAAAAGGCTCCAGGCTCTGAGCTGTCAGCACAGAGCCCAACGCGGGGCTTGAACTCATGGACCTCGAGATTGTGACCTGAGCTGAAGTCGGAAGCTTAACCGACTGAGCCACCCAGGCGCCCCAACCAGTTCTTCTTTTATGGGCCATGTCTTTGTGTTGTATCTAAAAAGTAGTCACCAAACTCAAGGTCATCTAGGTTTTTTTATGTTATCTTCTAGAAGTTTAATAGTATTGCATTTTAGATTTAGATCTGTGATCCATTTTGAGTTAATTATTGTGAAGAGTATGAGGTCTGTATCTAGACTCCATTTGTTGGCATGTGGATGCCCCGTTGTTCCAGCACATTTGTTGAAAAGATTATCTTGGCTCCATTGTGTTGTCTTTGCTCCCCTGTCAAAGATCAGTTGCCTATATTTGTGTGGGTCTATTTCTGGACTCTCTTCTGCCTGCCCCATTGATCTCTTTGTTTTTTCTTTTGCCAATACCACACAGCCCTGATGATGAGCTCTTTTTGAAACTTTTCTGTGATTCTTTATTTTGAAAATTTTTAAGCATAATATTTTCTTTAACATGTGGCACATTTGAAATTCTCTGGACTTCTGACCAAGGTCTCCAACAGCTGCCAAGCAAATAGGACACATGATGCTTTGTCCCTTGTGCATCAGGTCCCCATCCCTTATGTGCCCCGAGCTCATCCACCAGTCCAGTCAGCAGTGCCTCAGTGTCCTTCCCTAAGCTCACCACTTTTCACCAGCTCCTTGTCTGCCACCCTTTCTAACCCACCTCCGTCTCTTGACCAGCGCACTGCTTTCAAATCTTATACCTCTGCAGCCTTTCACTGAACTGCCCAGTGATTTTTTTTTTTTCAGGCACAAATAAAATCCCATCACTCCTCTGCTTCAAGCCATTTAGTGGCTGCCACTGAATCGCACATCTTATGTGCATGTGGATCATCCTCTTTTTATTTTTTATGCTGCCCATATGCCCTTTTACTTCTCTCCTCCAAACCAGTGATCCCTGTCTGAAGGCTTGAACCAGACATGGCATTGCTCCTGGGCTGGCTTCAGAGATTCTTGGGAAACTTCATCTCCCACCAGCCACCCCCTAACCCCCACCCCTGGGGCCTTCCTGGAATCCCTCTGGGTCCCACTCCCTGCTGCTCACAGCAATACACAGGTACCAGAGTTCATCCCCTTCGGCTGAGCTCTGCAGTGGCTTGTGGCCAGAACAAACACTGATGAGCGGGAAGAATGTCTGCCCCAAGCAGGTGGGAACTCGGGCTCTTTCAAGTTTCCATCAGAGCCTTCCACAGGCTGAGCCCGTGAAAAACAGTCAATGACGATGCAGACCCATCTTCACACTGAGGAGATTAGAACACCCTGGAGCTTTCATCATATCTGGTTAGTGCATGCAGCCAATGCAACCTATATATGTCTTGTGGACTCCTAAAACCTTGCAGTTGGAAGGACACTCAATTCTCTCTACTGTAGGGAGACCCTCAACCAGCCAGCAAGGTTCTTCCAGCCTCTGCAGACACCCTGCAAGCAACAGGGTACTCCCTCTTTCCAAGGCCACTCATGCCTTTGTAAAACCATACCAATTATTTGAAGGTCTTATTTATATCTAGCTACATCTGCCTTCTGCACCTTTTACTAGAATGTTCAAAGTCTGTCGCCTGGACCCAGAATGCAAGTCCTGCAGATATTTAATCCGCTTTATCTAATGTGACCATCAACT